CTAGAAAGCTGGATACCTATGGGGGAAAAAATGGTAGGGGATAGGGATGGGATTTTTCTCTTATACAATATTAAGAATGGTAATTACCAAACAGGGGTGAGGTAGAAGGGGAAAATAGTAGGTGAAAAGGTATAAAGTTGCAGTTACATGAGATAAAATAGTCTAAAAGTCTAATGTGCAACATGAGGACTACAGTTAATAATATTGCATTGTACACTGGAAATTTGCTGAGAGGTTTTAGGTATTCTTATCACACACATAGAAAAAGATGATGGATATGGTAATTTGCTTGACTGTAGTAATTGTTTCAATATACATATGTATATAAAAAGACCTTGCTGAACACCTCAAATATAGACAATAAAAACTTTACAAAAGACTTAGTCACAGACTCATTGAAAATTCCGATTCGGTGTTTCCCAAATTTTAGCAGTAATCCAAATCCTATCATGTAGACATAAGAATTTTATGTAAAAGCACTTTTAAGTAAAATCTATAAAAAGAAGTGATTGGTTTAATGTTTCTCAATTATGGATGAATATTAAGTCATTTGCCAGTAAGTGGATGAAACTGAAGAATATTGTGCTAAGTAAGCCAAACTCAGAAAATCAAGGGTCAAATGTTTTCTCTCATATGTGGGAGCTAAAGCAAAGTAAAGGGGAAAAAGGCATGGTGGTAGTTCTAGTTCTATTTTTTTGAGGAATTTCCATATTTCTTTCCAAATTGGTTGTACTAATTTGTGGTCCCATCAACAATGTATAAGTGTACCTTTTGTTCCTACATCCTCTCCAGCACTTATTATTATTGTATTATGATTGCTACATAATGATATTTTAACAAAAAATAATAGCTTAAATCAATCATCAACAGAATAATTAATGTGAAATATTAAAAAGAATACAATAAATTAAAAACAATGCTAAAATATCTGCTATCACTTAGTATTATTCTTGAGATTCTATGCAATGTAATAAGGGAAGTAGGAGCACAAACACACATATCAGTTGAAATATATCTAATAAGTTCAATAAAGAGGGAAATTATAAAATAAACCAGTAAAATAAATAAGCAAAATTCTTCAGTAGAATCATTAAATAAAGCAATAAAAAGAAAATGAAATAAAGAATCTCATTCATAAAGGCAAGCAAAAATAGTAAACATTAAAGGGAAACCATTAAAGATAATGTACTGTATTTTTAAAATAAAACATTATTCAGGGACATGTAAGAATGTAATACATTATTTTTAATGGAAACATTTAATATTATGAATAATATTATAAGGTGTCCATTCACCCCTTAAATTTGATAGAAATGTAATTTTTTTTAAAAAAATCACTTTGGGACTTTAATTAACAAATTAATAAAATAAATTGAAGATAAATTTTGAAGGAATATGAAAATACCTTAAAAATTAGGAAAGATATTAGGAAAGGTACTATAAAGTTACAATGATTAGTATAACATAGTACTAATAAAAATTTAGATAGATAAATAGAATAGACCCAAACTCTGAAAAATATGTTCAAAATACATGATCAGAGTATAATGAAATATGTTATTTCAACTCAGAGGATATGATAGGAAGAATTTAATAAGTAGAAGAGAGATCCTTGGTTAACTGATCAAGAAAAAAATTAAGTTCTACTTCTAGTTGACATTATACATCCAAATATATTCAAGAGGAATTAAGGGGTTAAATGTTTTAAAACAGAGTCAACTAATTGAAAGAAAATAGAGCAGAATAGTATCTAATTTCAGGGCAGGAGAAAACTTTCTAAACAAATTCCCAACAGAAAAAATTAAATTAAAATGAATGGAAAGACTGACAACAAAATAATAAAATAAAGCAAATAAAAAATGCAATATGAGGCTTAATAATATTAAAATATATATTAAGAATTCTTACTACATATTCTTGCTATATATATTTTCTAGTTCATACAATAAGAACTAGACAAGACATTTAAAGAAAAAAATGGACAATCAACGTACATAGGCAGTTCATGAAGAAACAGATGTTTAATAACAAATAAATTTATGTAAAGCTCTTCATTCTCACCAATAATAATAAAAAAAACCTTCATATTAAATCAACAACAATGTGCCTCTGCCCCCATTAAACTAGCAAGAATTTTTTTTTCTATTAAGGGCAAAAGAAAAAACACTTGCAGATACTACCAGTGAGAATACAAAACACTATATTTTTCTATAGGATAATGGGCAAAGGTCTTTTTAAAAAGAACATATTCTTTGGCCCAGGAATTTCACTTTTAAGAATATATTTTCCCAGCGGCTCGGGAAGCTGACGCAGGAGGATCATGAGTTCAAAGCCAGCTTCAGCAAAAAGCAAGTCACTAAGCAACTCGGTGAAACCCTGTCTCTAAATAAAATACAAAAAAAAGGGCTGGGGATGTGGCTCAGTGGTCAAGTGCCCCTGAGTTCAATCCCTGATACCCCAAAAGAAGAAATATATATATATGAAATGACCACTAATAGGCTGAAAAATCTTCCTAAAAAGTCATCTGTGCGTAAGACATGCTTTATACTGACAATTTTTAAAAACCTCAGTGGTGAATACAAGGCTCAGTTAAATTATGAAAATCTCATTTTCTGCCAATAAAAATATTTTAGAAGATTACTTAATCACAAGGAAATTCATGATATATCATTAAGGTGAAAACAGATTATAAAAGAATAGTATAAGGATGATGCTAATAGGAAAAATTAATATATATAAGTGTGTGTGTGTAAGTTAAAATTGAAAGGATAAATGATAAAATACTTGCAGAATTAAAGAACAATTTTATTTCTTTTGCATGTTTTTCTGTTTCTTACAAATAAATACACATGAATTTTGTAATCAAGGGAAATAAGACTTATTAAAATACATAGTTTGAGTTATATTAAATACTGTTAATCCACAGTAGTACATATTCCCCAAATACATCATTTAGATTACTTTAAATTTTCAGAATAATGATAACAATTTTAGTTGACTAATAATCAACTTGGTCTTACCTAGAAAAAAGTATGCTGAGTTTTAGCAGTGGTTAAATGAAACTATATGAGGATGCGTCATTTTTTTCATTTTTAAATTAACATATTATAGTTATCTTTTCTGTATAATGTACATGATGACAAAATATTAAAATGTAAGAAGAGGCAAAATGTAAATAAGTCAAAATAGGAAATTCAGTATTCTTTTATGCCCACAAAACTCAGAATAGCATACAACTGAAAGTTCACGTATCACATAAATTCAGTTTGAAAAGCCTAATTTTTCAAGTATCTCACTTCTGAGATTTATAAATTTTGTGCATCTAAAACATGTACAGTTTTGGGATATTTAATTCATAATTAGATTTAAATATAAAGAAAGATGAAATACAGGAAGAAAAAGATACCTTGAAGTATAAAAACTTAGTGTTAGCTTCTACATTACCAAGAGAAAGCAAGACACCCACCATTCATGCTGGCAAAAGCTTGCCTTTGCATAAACCATTTCTGTTCTAACTGTTATAAAACCAATGGCTTTGGAAAGGGAAGAAAACACAGAATGACGTGCAAAGTAGCACACACCATGTTATTGCAGCTGGATAGAGAATATGTCACTAATGACTTTCTTTCTACCCGTCAGTTATAAGTTGAGTTTCTTTTTTTTTTTTTTCCAAAATAGCAAATGGCCTTTATGAGTACAAAACAGAAGCAGTGAAATTCAAAATAATATTCAATTTCTACTTGATTTTGACACTATTAGTTAAAGGAATGAGTTATTAATTATTCATTGGGGAAAAGATGACTTTCTTGTCTTTATGTTTGAGTTGAATATACCATGCCTTAATACTAGGCAATGGTTTTATAGTAAATCTAAAAGAACGTATTTATTAAATACTTATTGAGAAACTATCCACAACCAACAGGAATATTCACCTACAGTTGAATGTTAAATTAATAAAATTAATGTAAAGAAGTTCCCAAATTGTTAGTATGAATCAGAGTGATGACTATCTCTGTGTAAGGAAAGACTGATAGAATTAATGAATGATGTATTCCTTTCATGATACACCACACTAGGGATACAGTACTTCATCTTCATAAATAAATCAACAAGAGAGAGCTTAAAAATAATATCAATCACATATATAATAATAATAATAATGACACCAATCACATGTATTAAAAATAAAGATGTTTATTCTCATCTGCATCTGAGATCATGAAATGCTAAATCTTATGAAACTGTTTGAGATTAATCAAACTATGACCCTGTGGGCATATTAAAATAAGAACCACCACAACTTACATTCATGAGTACTTTCTTAAGTGACAAGTATCATAGTTCTAAGAGCATTATATGTATTTCTCTCTTGATGAGCCTATGAAATAGGTACATTATTATCTTAATTTTAAAGATAAGGAATACGAAATGTAGAAAAATTTGGTGGTCTACCAAAAAACACTCATTTAGTAAATCACAGAGCCAGGATGTTAATAGGCCTGTAAACAGGCCCCAGAATTCACTGTATATTCTGTATTCTGTACACTGTATAAGTATATATTCTATAAATGTACAGTGTATTGTATAAATGTTTTTAAAGGTGTTACAGGTAAACTCTTTTATCAGAAGAAATTCAAATTAATAATTGGCTTCATAAATTAGGCCATTATGATTTTAAGAATCATTACTAAAAATATCTTTACCTTAAATAGCTCTTCACTTTTTGATATAACTTTTTTCTTTCTCATATTTTTGTTACACAAATTCATGAGGCAATATATTCTATAAATTCTATGTTCATGGACTTATGCCAAAGGTAGGCATAAATTTCATTCATAAACCTTATAAAGAATAAAATTTCAGGGACACATTATATATTTATCATGTAGTAAATCAAGTATTAAAAGTAAGAGTTTAATGTTCTAGTATAGAACAACAAATATATTGTTATATAAAATAACATCTATACATTGATATATTTGATATCTTTTACATTGTACCTTTAATTTCTCCAAGAAGTTCACTGGTGTTTAGTCTTTCCATTTTTTCCTTCCAATCCTTTGAAAGTAGTTTTTCCATGCAGGAAGAATCTGTTAAAATACAAATTATTAATTATTTGTATACATATAATTAAAAACATATGTATATTACAAATTCAGAAAGGCAGATTAGGATAAATTCTCTCATTTAAAAGTGTACAAAGCTATTTTTGCTGCTGTTGTTTTACTCTATTATAAAATACCACAACTGAATTTATTTTTTCCAGAAGAAGAGTTACACTACTACCCAGGAGAAAAGAAGATAATGCTCAATAATCTTTTCTTATTATCATAATTCTATTAATATTTAATCAACATTCATAATTTTTAGACTGCACCTTAAAGAGGGCTCTTTTATATGGGTTTAGTTGAGATTATATACCTTTTGATCCAGGTGATATTTTAAGTCCAAGCAAAATGTATGTGCTGTATAAGGAACAATGACAGATTTTAAAGGGGGAAGAGGCCAGTAACTACTTAATCCTGAAAGAAGAAATCCAACTTTTGTAAAATACTCATTTGGAGCAGAAAGAGGAAAAAATAAAGTCAAGATGTTCTCTGTTCACTAGTAATGAAAACTGCTAAAACTTTTATACAAAAAGTGATGCATATTTTTATTTTTAAAAGTATATATTTAAATGTTATTTGCCCCAATGCCTTTCTAAATAACATTCTAGACTACAGGGAATAATTACATTTGTTTTTGCAAAGATTCATAAAGGCTACAGAAATAAAATTTTACAATATCCTAAAAATTACCAAATTTGTCTGAGTTTTTTTTCTTTCTATTCAGATGGATTTGCAAATGGGGCTACTTCTTATAACTATTTGCTTGTGCTTTTTAAGCCTTAAATCTTAACAAATAGGTCATGTTTCCAAAAGGGAATGTAGATTTAAATACTGGATCCTTAGTACAAAGCACACTCCCATTAAACTTTAACATTCCAGTGTCAAAATTCTGATAAATTTCTCTTAAAATTATATTTAAAATGGTTACTTCCAATATCAAATGCCTTTTCTCTCCCATATCAGCACCTATCGCTTTAGCATTTTCCCTTTAAATTTTTCTCCAGCTTCTAAATCCTCCTTAATTTTTTCAAAATGACAGTTAGGTCAAGATGGCTCTAAAGGGCTTTAGAAACTAGATAAGCTTTAGAAAAAGGCTTAAGAATGAGAAGACCATTGCATGGTTAGAAAGTATTGGTGAAAAACAATTAACTTTGGTTGTGACATGATCAATCAATCAAGGAATGAATGGAATCCAGATCAGTGTGTGGTAAAATGACCGATGAAGACCGACCATACTAGCAGGCTATCACAGAAGTTGAAGTTTTGTCTAAATAGAACTCAGCTTGATTCTATAAAATTAAGACTCCCTGCTCCTTCCTTTACTTCTTCCCTCCTTCCTTTCTTTTTGCCTTCCTTCTTTCTTTCTTCCATTTTTTCCTATTATTTTCTTAGGTTTTAACAAGTGATCTACCTTTGTGCTTCAAAATTGGATTCTGAGCAACCTGCCAATGGGCCTACATGCATATGTATATATTCAGGTAGTATTTAATTGCCTAAATTGTCTCCTATTTTTATTTCACTTTTAGAAACGAGGTATCTAGTTTTTCTATACCTAAACCATTTTTATGCTAAAAACCATAAAAAAATAAAATTGAGTTTAAGAGTTAAGAAAAATTCTAATCATACCTTTCTGAGACAATTTTTTCTCAAATTAGGTTTGAATTTCTGAGAAAAACTGATATAACGTTAGATTATGGATAAGAATAATCAACAAAAAGTCTTAAATTTCTTATCCTACCTAGTTTTGTTTCTATTTTTTACCCTTTCATACATATTATATCATTGCACTAAATTGATTTTACTGATACAAATGCCAAAGTATAAATTGGTTAAAAATTGAGTTGAGAGCATTTATGATAGCAGTCAGAATAAAGCCCAATTTACTAGTACTGATCACAAGGACAGAGCAAGTCCATATGCTAGGATTAGATACATACAAGATATAAAACAGGCTAAAATATGTCTCTTTTTTCTATAAATAGATTTGAAATATTTCAGAGCTCCAAGAAAAGAATGCTGAAACTTCATGGGAAAAAAATAGAAGTATATGAACAACAGGAACACATGCTTCAAAAATAAATCAAACCATGTGGATACAACTTTTCATAAAAGCTACTCATGAATAAAATGGCTAATAACTTCAAAGTATATTACACTCTATTAGGAAATTAATCCTTACTGTAATGCTGAGTTAATCTAGCTACGTGAGTTTCTACTTGAGTAGAAGAAACCAAGGGGAAAATTAAAGCAGTCTTTGCATGTCTACATTTTCATTTATACTTATGAGAATATTTAATAACAACTACCGATTACCTTTATCTACAGAACAATAAAAGTCACTATATACAACACTATCAACATTTAATCTTAATTCTAGGAGATTTCAGGAAAGCTCAAAACTTTTATTACAAAATCTTTTGAAAAACCCAGCTTTCTTCCCTAATTATCTGACCGCCAGCCGAGCACATACCTTAACTGGTGCTAAGCACTCTCTGTGCTATAAAGTAAAGAAGGAAAGATGAAGGAAAACAGGCCAAAAGCAGCAGGTTGTTACCAAGTACAGTAGAGAAAGAGGACACTTCTGCCCCCAGTGAATGTTTCTGGTTTGAAATGAAGAAACATGTAATAGGTACAAAGTTACAAATGTAAAGTTGTATTTTCAAATTTCCCACTCTATAAAGGAATGTATCAATTTACACTCATACCCAAGAAAAGTCACAAATTAAAAGTAAGGATTCATCCCCCTTCTGCCATATCCCTCAACTATATCAATAGGACACTGGCTTTAAAGATCAGATCAGACTTTGTCCTATTACAAAACCCAAAGAGGTAGAAATAAGTAAAGACCAATTTGCATTATATATATGGAAAGAGTTAGACCAAGCAGAGTGTCTTTAACACAGTAGTAATATATGATTCCAAATGAAAAAAAAAAAAAAAAAGGAGTGAACATCCCTCAGATACTCGTGGATTATGTTACAAGCATAAATATGTTTTATTTGACTAACTTGAAAACAATTAACACAGCTATGCTGGTGCCAGAGTCCTCAAATAATGAAAAAAATATACAGTGAATTTTATTATATTAATTTGACTATTCAAAGTTTAGTGACTTTGAAAATTGAGATAAAAAATCACAAACTATAGCATAAAATTCACTATAATATACATGTATTTGAATGTAACTCATGCTTCCATACTAATGAGACATTGTAGCAAATGTCAAAATTCATTGCTTGTACTTTGAAAAAATTTGTTTTCATGAACAAATTATCTATTCCATTTTAATAAGTGATAGGGATTAAAACAGGACTTTCAAAAATATAAAACTGGACTATTTCTATATTTTAAGCAAAAAAGTGAATTTTTGGTATTTATAAATTTTTTATATTTTTTGTAGTTGTAGATAGACAGAATGCCTTTATTTTATTTGTTTTGTTTTTATGTGGTGCTGAGGATAGAACCCAGTGCCTCACACATACTAGGCAAGCACTCTACCACTGAGCTATAGCCCCAGTCCTATAAATTAGTTTAATTGCATAGTTTCTTGAGATTTTTATTTTTCTTTGAAAATTTAAGCTTTTCTTTTATAAGAAACTTTTTGTAAGTTAAAAAGGAAAGATACAATTCAGAACTAATTTCTAAAAAAATATCCTGCATACCAGGAAGCAGTTGTGCACACATGTAACTCCAAGAACTGCAAATGCTGAGTAGGAAGATTGCAAGTTCAAGGTCAGCCTAAGAATGTTAGTGAGACACTTAGCAATTTAGTGAGACCCTGTCTCAAAATAAAAAAAAAATAAAAAGGGCTGAGGATGTAGGTTAATGGTGAAGTGCCCCTGTGTCAATCCCTAGTACAAAACAAACAAACCTTTCACATTATGAATTCCAATAAAATATTTCTACTTGTTAAGTACTTAAGTTTCAGGCCAGGTAAGTCAAGAATTTGTTTCATTGCTTTAATAATGTTTTTGCCAGCAAGGATGGTGGAATGTGATGGACATCATTATCCAAAGTACATGTATGAAGACACGAATTGCTGTGAACATACTTTATATACAACCAGAGATATGAAAAATTGTGCTCTATATGTGTAACAAGAATTGTAATGCATTCTGCTGTCATTTATTTTTAAAAAATAAATTTTAAAAACTTTTTAAAAAACTAATTTTTTGCCTGCTAATAATTAATTTAATGGTACAAGATAAATGCAAAGTGAGAGTATGTGAGATATTCATTTTATAATCTGCATGATGATATTTTAGGAATAATTTCAAATTGCTCCTAAACAAAGTGTCATGCAGTATTAGCTCCTATTCTGCACAAGATAAAGTTTTTGCCTATAAGACAAAGAGAGTAAGCAAATCATAATTAAAATTAAAACAAGAGGAGGAAGAGGGAGAAAAAATAGTGGGAAAACTTTTTATTGTACTTTAAAACAATTTACCTGTAAATATTTATTTTCATTTTACCTCCATGTGATATTCACAGTCAGAAATGCAAATATCTTTTAATATTTTAGTCCACAGCAAACTTTTTAGAAAATATCTTTCAACTCTACTTTGTGAACAACCAGAGACATGAAAAAATTTGTGCACCATATGTGTAATATGAATTGAAATGCATTCTGCTGTCATATGTATAATGAATTAGAATAAATAAAAAAGAATAAATCAAAAAAAGAAAATATCTTTCAAATATTTCCATGAAGAAAAACAATGATGGCTCCCCTGTGTGCAAATTACCTTTTACTTTATTAACTCTTAAGAAAAGAGTAAAGGAATTCCTTTTATTTTTCATAGGAATCATAAATTTCAAGTGCAACAAATTTCTTATGTAACCAAGACAATCATAACTTATCAAAAATACTGTGACTTTGGTTTACAACTAAATCTGACAGTATATATTTATATCCCGGCTGATCATCCATCCCACGTTTTTCATTAGGAAACATAGAGATGCACATGCCAGTTACTGTACAT